AGAAGTCTAGATCATCCTAATCGAAGTTTAGTACTTCGGATTTTCCGGACCTCTGATAAGTCAAAGCCAGGCTACACGTGTATGAGGGCTGCTTCATCTCTGGCTGACTCCTAGTGTGTGCTTTAGGACTGCTGTGCAGTAAGGAGCTGGTTTACTTCTTGTAAACAAGACTCATCTCCCAAGGTCGTTGCCTCTAGATATTAACATTGGAGCAATTATCCATGTTCATCTCAAGAGGCTATCTTAGGAGTGTATCCCCAGGGCCTCTCCAAAACTGGTAAGTAGGTCTGATATAGTCCCTGTTTAGTCCTTTCCATCATGAACCTGGGATCCAAACATCAGTTCTCAAATCCCCCCAGGCTCATCAGGGCGTAAAGAACCTCAAATTCTGTCTCCTCTTTTGCAGAGACTGAAGATGCAGGCAACAAGTTCTCTGCTCTCTACATTTAGCAGATAGGACAGGTCACCAAGTTCTGTTCAGGAAATAATGCATTATAGTCTCTTATGTCCTTACGGAATTTTCAGCCTGTAGAGCAGGAACGTGGAGGCAGCCAAACCAGTGAACTCTGACAGCAGCACAGAGCGGTAAGGTCCGTACGCCTCAGGCTCAAGCTCCTTCTCCCTCTTCGCTCTTATCTTCTCCTCCATTTTCTCTCTCCTATTTGTGGGATAAAAATATATCTTGACCTGTACCTGACCTGATACAAAAATCAGTTTTAGATTGATAGTAAATCTAAATGTGAAGAGTAAAACAATAAATCTTTTAGCAGAAAATATAAAAAAGGACATTGACAAAGATTTAGCAAAGATTTCTATTAAAAGATGCAAAAAGCAAACATACTCACATATTTTGGGACATCTTCATAATCTAACCGCTAAGGGTTTAAGGTAAGATAACAATTCCTCCAATCTTTTTGGCACTCTGCAGTTTTCAAGGGCTCACTGGCACACGCCCTGCTGCCTGTGATTCTCACAACCTACAAGAACGCCCACATGGGTGACATGAGGTGGCTCGAGGAGATTGAGTGCCCGACTCAAAGTCAAAACAGCAGGGGAGCAACAGAGGCGGCACAAAGGCCAGTGTTCCAACAGCAAGTTTGCAGCATTTTTCTATCACACACCCACACTCACTGTCCTCTCCCCTAAGCCACACTACATAGGAGTTTGTGTCTCTATGGCCTTCTGACCACACGAGCGTTCAGAACCCGCTGACTCTTATAGGCTGAGAGCAGTGTTTTCAAAGTATAGGATCAGAATAACTCGGTGCTTGCTAAAAGGAACTTGGTCCTCAGAACAGAACCAGTACTTCAGAGAAGGGGCAGGAAAATCAGCTTTGTGTCTTGAAGCATCGCAGGTGATCCCAATGCTCACTGCAGCGTGGGAGATGATAGCTTTAGGGCAAGCGAGCAGAGGTGTCCATTCCTCTGGGCAGCCTTGGCTTTCTGAGGTCCCATCACCTCCCTCCTATCTTCTCTCCTGTCGGGAAGATGTTCCACCCAGAAGCTGGGAAGGAAGAAGTTTCTTCAGGGTCTAAGAAGGTGGAAGCCATTTCTCTCCATGGTGAAAACAGAGGTGGTGGGCGAGTGTGCTCAGGATTGGGGTCCCTGCAGGGAATCACCACGGTGCTTCTTTTCATGCTCAGGTCACATAGGGGGTCTTGGGGTGATCTCAGGGATGAGCCCATCAGCTCCCTCTTTCTCATTTTAACCGTTTTTCTAAGAGGCAAGCAGAGCTTTGGTCATGGGCTCATCTCTGCCGTCAAATCACTCTGACTTTGGGCAGATCTCTTCGGATCAAGGCTGCACGTAAGTACTGTAGTGTGGGAAATAAACGGGATCGTTTGTGGTTAGATCCACAGGACAACTAGCAGACAAGAGATGTGGGAAGCTGCAGATACAAAAAGTCTCCGGAGCATGTGCTCAGGGTTACTCCCAGTTTCACTTAAATGCCAGAGGGCCACTCCATCATTAATCTGTCATTTGGAACCTTATTGCTAAAAGAGGCTTTAACCAGCACTTACTTCCCCTAAATGCTTGAATTGACTCTGAAATGACCACTCTTCCCATGGCATCGTGCAGCCTGTTCTAATCCCTTCTGTGATGGGGAGTTCACCTCCTTCCCAGTGCCCTTCGCTGGCCCAGCACTTAAGTCATCTGGGTGACAGCCTGGCTCCTATTTCTCTTTCTCTCTCTCTCTCTCTTTGCCCCCTGGTTTCTGACCAAGGCAGTGCATATCCCTTCGTATGGGAAGCCCATTGTAACATGCCCCTCATCTCTCCCCCGTGCAGTTGCACCAAGTGGCCGGACACGAGTTAAGTCCCAACCCTGACATCCCAGACCCCTCCCTGGAGATCCCAGGGTGGACTGAGGGATCTCAGGGTGCCTGGGTGGGGGCAGAACCAGGTCCAGGGCGGAGAACAGTTTCCTGCTGGAGTGGGGTGGGAGATAAAAGCTTGAGGAAATGGTTAAATAGGACTCCCTTTGCCCCGTAACAGCATCTCCCATTTAAAATCAGCTTTAAAGGTAGAGAACTCCTTCCACATTCCGGATTTCAGCTCTTAACGCTGCATCAGGTAGACACGGTTTCTCTCCTTTAACACACGGTTGAGTAGTTGGGGCATCAGCTTTGAGTCAGGAAAGGGGGTTAAATACTGACTCTATTCCTTTACAAGCTGAGCAACCGTAAAGAGTATTGATCTTCTAATTCTCAGTGGAATCATCTCTCACAGAGCCAAATAGTGCCGTGTGTGGACTAAATAAAAGACCTTAATGTAGATAAGGCACGTAAGCACATTAACCCGTCCAAGTGCTCAGAAATGGGGAGTTATTTGCTGGGGGGAAAAAATGATGTGTGTGTTAATCTAGGATTTGAATCCACATTTCTGACTCAAACTTTTCTTTCAGTATACCACTGACCCTAGATATCTGTGAATTCAACTCTGTAAACTGAGATTTAAAAATCCATTCATGGCTGGGCACAGTGGCTCATGCCTGTAATCCCAGCACTTTGGGAGGCCAAGGCGGGTGGATCACCTGAGGTGAGGAGTTCGAGACCAGCCTGACCAATATGGCAAAACCCCATCTCTACCAAGAATACAAAAATTAGCCAGGCGTGGTGGCGGGCACCTTAGTCCCAGCTACTCAGGAGGCTGAGGCAGGTGAATCGCTTGAACCTGGGAGGCGGCGGTTGCAGTGAGCCGAGATCGTGCCACTGAACTCCAGCCTGGGTGACAGAGCGAGACTCCATCTCAAAAAAAAAAAAAAGAAAAAATTTTTTTTTTTTTGCTAAATGCTTGCCTGCCCCATCCTACCTCCACCAAAGCTGGTAGCTCCAACTTCCTTTAACCTTCTAGGTTGCTCACAGTTCCTACATCCACATTTGCTTACCCAGCTGCTACTTCAAATTTATCATGTTCAAGATTGAATTTGCAGAACGCGCTCCAAATTCCCCTGGCATCAGCTAGTTCTCCAAGCAACCACATTTTCATCAATACATGGGCTCCTGGGCTCACGGCTCTTGTCCGTTCATTCATCTCAAATGCATGAAATGTCTACTATTCTATACAGTTTAGTTCAACCCTCTTTTACTGGTCTCTACATTATGCCTGGCAGTGTGCAAGATCCTGAGGATGCAGGAATACTGAGTACGGTCCCTACTCTAGAGACTCTCACAGTCTTGCAGAGAGTGGATAGCTAAGCAAAATGTGGAAAGGGTCAATCCTGAAAGAATGCAAAGACCAAAAATAGTGCAGAAACTAGAGTGGTTACCTCTGGGGTGGGAGAAGATGTCACCAGGAGGAGATGCTTAAGTAGGTACTAGAGCAGGTCTTACCAGGCTGACAAGAACTGAAGGAAAAAAATTCAGGCTGGAAGAGCAGAATGAAGAAAGCATATTGGGTGAAAAGGAACAATCAGTGTGAAGGACAAAGACAAAATATTTTGTGTCTTCTAGAACCATACAAACTGCAAAGGCACTGCTAGAGTAGAGAGTGGAGGTCAGACAAGCAGGAGAGTGCACTGGGGTTGAAGCATCCTGGGCTTTGGCCGCCTGGCCATAACCTTGAGCTATTCTGCAGGAAATGGGGAACCTCAGCTACTGTACGGAAAATACATGATAAATTTGTCAGAAAGCACGCTTCGTGCTCAGGCAGAGGTAAGCGCTTTACCTCAGCTTTCCTGGTATGTTCCTGTGGTAGTTCTTAGAGCAAAAGCTCACGGTATGAGTCCCCATAGCCTGCTCTTGTCTGCCCAAGTGGGAGCTGCAAGTTACTCCTGCCTCCTATCCACCGTTTTCCCTACATCCCCACATCCCATAGTTTTGGAAAAAGTTGTATCTTCACTTTCATTTATCTATCTTCTGTTTCTGTTGCTTCTTTGATTCATTGGTTATTTTGGAGGATGGTGTTTGGTTACCACAAGTGTGTGAGTTTTCTCCATTTTTTCTTCTTTCCATTGCAAATTTCATTCCTTTGTAATTGAAGTACATACTTTGTGTTATTTCTATCTGTTGAGTATCACTGAGGTTTGTTTTATGGCCTTGCATATAGTCTATCTGGGGGAACGCTCCAAGGATGGCTGAAAAGAATCTTGTTCTATTTTGGGGTGGAGTTTTCTAGAGATATCTGTTTAGGATACTTCATTTGCAATGTTCAAGTCCTCTATTTCCTTGTTGATCTTTTACTTAGTTTTTCCGTTCATTATTGAAAGCGGGATATTTGGTTTTTCAACTACTATTGTTGAATTATCTATGTCTCCCTTCGTTTCTGTCAGCTTTTGCTTCAAGCATTTTGGTATCTGTCTATGTTTGATAAAAGACAAAACATTGATGTAACTTTTCCCAAAAACGTAAGAAGACAGTTATCCTAATACCATTTATTGCATAATGCAACCTTTGCCTGCTGAATTAAAGTATTGCCATAACAATTCACCACATTCCACAGGAACTTGGCTGTTTCTTATGTTTCTAGGGCACTTAATAAACATTTGTTGGTGTTAATGTTGCAGAAGGTTGGGGGAATGGATGGAGATAACCAGAGTGAGAACTCACAGTTCCTACTCCTGGGGATGTCAGAGAGTCCTGAGCAGCAGCGGATCCTGTTTTGGATGTTCCTGTCCATGTACTTGGTCACGGTGGTGGGAAATGACCTCTTCTTTGTCACCAACACAATCCCCAAGATGCTGGCGAACCTCCAGTCCCAGAACAAAGCCATCAGCTCTGATTCCCACCTGCACACCCCCATGTACTTCTTCCTGGCCAAATTCTCCTTCACTGACCTCTTCTTTGTCACCAACAGTCCCCAGGATGCTGGTGAACCTCCAGTCCCAGAACAAAGCCATCTCCTATGCAGGGTGTCTGACACAGCTCTACTTCCTGGTCTCCTTGGTGACCCTGGACAACCTCATCCTGGCCATGGCATATGACCGCTATGTGGCCATCTGCCACCCCCTCCACTATGTCACAGCCATGAGTCCTGGACTCTGTGTCTTGCTCCTCTGCTTGTGTTGGGGGCTGTCTGTTCTCTATGGCCTCCTCCTCACCCTCCTCATGACCATGGTGACCTTCTGTGGGTCCCGAAAGATCCACTACCTCTTCTGTGAGATGTACGTCCTGCTGCGGCTGGCATGTTCCAGCACCCACATCATTCACACAGTGTTGATTGCCACTGGCTGCTTCATCTTCATCACCCCCTTAGGGTTCATGACCACATCCTATGTACGTATTGTCAGAACCATCCTTCAGATACCCTCAGCCTCTAAGAAATACAAAACCTTCTCTACCTGTGCCTCACATTTGGGTGTGGTCTCCCTCTTTTATGGGACACTTGCTATGGTATATCTGCAGCCCCTCCACACCTACTCCATGAAGGACTCAGCAGCCACAGTGATGTATGCTGTGGTGACGCCTATGATGAACCCTTTCATCTACAGCCTGAGGAACAAGAACATGCATGGGGCTCTGGGAAGACTCCTAGGGAGACCCTTTCAGAGGCCTAAATGAAGGTAATTTTGAAAAGGGGATTGGAGACTGGAAATATCCTTCACCAGACATCAGGCATTATGTTATGGGATATACAACAGTCATTAGGGTACAAATCCAGCTCAGAATGAGATGAGCATATCTATCTGTGGTAAAGAAAAGACAATGTGTATCCCAGTGCCTCCCAGACCTCACCAGCCTTGGCAATAAATAATCTGTCATGCTAACACTACTACCAGGATTTTACAGGGTCAAATATTTAAACCTGCTTGATCATAGGCCCACAGTCCTAGGCTTATCTATATAAACCCAGTCATAGCTTAGGGAGGGCTCTAATGTTCTCTAGCACCCATTCACTTATGACCCAGCAGTTTGGCTTCTCTAAGGAGCCTGCTATCTTCAAGCTCTTTGGAGAAGACACTTTGCACTACCCCTACCACAGATGCCCTGGGTGAGGCTTCCCCTTTCTTGACACTCTAACAGGTACAACATGCACCACTTCAATGTTGACATATGGTCACTCTGGACACAACCCATATGGTTCCTGCAGAAATGCCAACAAAATTCCTGTTGTGGTCCGGGTTGATTTTATCTTTGGGGCCTCAGAGCAATACTCTCTTGCCTTTTCCCTGCATTCCTTTTCTCTGTAGGAAGTCAGACCTTGCCCTTGGAAAGACCATCCTAGCTTTTATTTCTGTAGTTCCTCACCTTCCTTCTCTTCACGCAAGAGTTCCATCCATCCCTCAAAACAAAACTCTCAAACATCAATGCATATTCATAAATAGCAGTGGTAGTAGGGTCAGTAGAAGGGGAGGATTCTGGAACAAATGAGCAATTTAGTGATCCCAGAGAACACAGAGGAAAGGAGATATTTTAATAAATAAATTAGGAATCAAACTCAATAAAATATAAAACAAAAATACAACGAAGAGGATTTTAAAAGCCAAAGATTGGTTCTTTTAAAATAAAATGAAGTGAATAAACCTCTGGGATATTGAGCAAGGAAAGAAAAGACACAAGTAAAGACTACAGTGGGAAGAATGGGGGTAAAAACTAAAGATAACATCAAGATTAGGATGATGAAGAGGGAATATCATCAACATCTACATACCAATAATTTTGAACATTGACAAATAAATCCTTGAAGAACATCTGACTTGTCAAAGCTGACTCAAGAAGAAATGGAAAAAATAAATAGTCCTATAACTAGAATTTAAACAATCATTTTAAATATTCACATATATATGAATATGCACACATATCACAAATATAAATCCATCTACAAGCAACTTTTAGGAAGTTATGGATCATCCAATTTTTAAGAAAAAAATGTGCAGAGAATAGAAAAACTTCCCAAGTAGCTTTATGTCATAATTATCACCTGATATTAAAGCATAAAAAGAGTACAAGAAAGAAAAGTGCAGGAGCTAATTTCACTTAAAAATATAAATACAGGTATCCCAAAGAAAATACTAGTAAATTGAATCCAACAGAGAATTTAAAATAATACTGCATAACGACCCATTAGGATATATCAAAGATATGTAAAGATAATTTGATACTTTTTAATCCATAAGTGTTTACTATCTTGACAAATTAAGAAAAAAATCAACTTGTCAATAGATGCAGAGAAAGATAAAATTCTAAACAAATGTTGTCCTTGATAAAGCACTAAATTTTATTAAATCACATCTTTTCATGTATGTCTTTTCAATATTTTGTATAATATAATGGCTAGTACCATAGAGCACTTCTGCATCTCAAAGTACAATGGTTGTCTCATGAGAAAGTACTTGAATGATTGTTTGAATTTGGGCTCAACCAGCCATTTCAGGGAACATTATTTTTATTTGTTAGAATGACTGATAAACTATAGTTATTCAGAATTGGTATTTGGCAGATGTTGCCACAAAATAAATGAAGTGAGTCTGTCACTGTAAGAAAAACTGACAATATTTGTTGCCAGGAATAAATATTTGGTCTATCCAGCAAATATCACCCCTTTGGGAAATTCATCCATTATGGTGATGGATATGTATTTCATATATACATGAAATGTGTCAACATTTGGAAGATCTGCATAACTCAGTGAGCCAGTATTTTTCAAATGACCAATGCATTATGTGAAAAAGTTACACATAAATAAAAGATCAATTTAAAATGCAAAAGAAGCCAATGGATTTTAATGACATAGGGGATAAAATGTCTATTGATGTGTTATCAGATTCTGCATTGCCACTAACCTTTAAGAAATGACGACTTACCACGTTTTGATGTAGTATCAAATAATATTAATTGAAAAGGTTATTAACATAATCCTCCCTTTTGCAATTACATCTCTGTATAAGGCTGGATTTTCTTCCTACATGTCAACCAAAATAACATATCACTACAAATAAATGCAGAAGCTGATACAAGAATCTAGCTCTCTTCTATTAAGCCAGACATTAAAAAGATTTGAAAAAATGTAAAACCATGCTATTCTTCAATAATTTTTTTTTAAATATAGTTATTTCTATTTAAAATCCTACTATAAAAACACGTCATGGTATTATTGTTTTATGAGTGAATTAGTAAATAAATATTTTAAATGTCTACTATGAGAATATTGATAGATATAACCCACATAAACACAGCTCATAGCTCTTTTGGTCCTGAAAATTTTAAGCAGATAAATGCGTCCTGAAACCAAAAGTTTGAGAACTATTCTCCTAAAGTACAAACATACTTGAAAATTGTTCCCAAATTCAGGAAACCAGTTCCTTTGAAAAGGAGAATAAAATGAGGGAAAGGAATGGGGATAATGCTTTAGTGTTATCTATAATATTTTAAATCTTTTTTGGAGAAAGAAGTGATATGATCAGGAGAAAGAAGTGATATGATCAGGTAACAAATTAATATTTTTAATTTTGTGGATGGTATATATCTCTCTAAAATTATTTTCTTATTGTATGCTTGAAATTATTCATAATTATTTTTTTAGTTTTTAAAGGATCTGAACGTTTAGTCTGCCATTGGGTTTGAAATTAGATGATTAGATGTGGAAAACACATTTGTCTTAGTCAATTAGGGCTGCTATAACAGAATACCGTACACTAGGTGGCTCAAACAACAGATTTATTTTCTCACAGTTGTGGAAGCTAGGAGTCACTATCAGGATGCTATCATGGTTGGGTTTTGGTAAGACTTCTTCCTATCTTGTAGGCAGCCACCATCTTGCTGTGTGCTCACATGACCTCTTCTTTGTGTATACAAGGAGAGAAAGGAAAAGCACTGGTCTCCTCCTCTTCTTGTAAGAGCACTAATCCCATTATGGGGCTCACCATCATGAGCTCCTCTAAACCCAATAACCTCCCAAAGGTATTATCACATGGGGGATTAGAGCTTCAACATTTGGATTTGGCAGGGACATAAACATTCAGTCCATAACAATACTTCCTTCCCCTCCAAACACACAAAATATCTGAATCATAGAGTCTTTATTTAAACAACAGTCAACAAGAGAGTGACATAAGCAGGATGGCAGAATGGGAGTTCTCCACTTCACTCCCCCACACAGAAATCCACTAGAAGCACCCACAATCAGGAATACCATCCTAACACAAGCACACAGGGAGGGGAACGACACACACTGGGGCCTGTTGCGGGGGTGGGGGCGGTGGAGGGAGAGAATTGGGAGAAATAACTAATGCATGCAGGGCTCAGTATCTCCATGATGGGTTGACAGGTGCAGCAAAACACATGGCACACATTTACCTACGTAACAAACCTGCACATCCTGCACGTGTATCCTGGAACTTAAAAGTAAAAAAAAAAAACACACAAAAAAAAAACCATATTGAATATTCCAGGAATTGGGATTGAGGCTGAGACACCACCTTGGGACACACAATAGAGAAAAGCCATGACCAAAGAGTAACAGAAATGGTTCTCTGACCATTTCACCCTCCCCAAAGTCAGCACCGCACCACACACAGAGAATGTCCCCAGACCCACAGTTTCTACAATAAGAAAAGTGAATTGGAGGCCAATACTCAAGTTTCCCCACCATTCTGGGATCCTTTGCAGGAGGAGACAGAGAGAGTACCAACAGAGTTAGACCACCTGGGGTCAGTTAGAAACAAAGAATGAAGCAGGACTTATAGTAGCCAGCACACAGATCTTGGAAATTGCTCTGTATTCTGGCCAAAAGAGGTGCCACACCAGAAGAAACTAGTCAACAACATCGTGCTGTAAGACACACTGTCCATAGGCCTTTCAGGCTCAAATCCTGAACCACCTTCTCCACACAAGCCAGTTGCTTTCATTAGTCTTCCCCAGCTTGAGAGGCAACTGCATGTCAGCAAGTACCTGTAAAATGACCATCTGGACTTTCCCAACCTTAATTCCTGGGATGCAAACCTGGTTCAACATACAAAAAGCGATCAATGTGATTTATCACATAAACAGAATTAAAAGCAAAAACCATATGATCATCTCAATAGAAACAGAAAAAGGTTTTGGTAAAGTCCAGCATCCCTTCATGATAAAACTCCTCAACAGAGCAGGCATCCAAGGAACATACCTCCAAATAGTAAGAGCCATCTATGACAAACCCACAGCCAACATCATACTGAATGGGCAAAAGCTGGAGCCATTCCCCTTGAGAACTGGAACAAAACAAGGAGGCCCACTCTCATCACTCCTATTCAACATAGTACTGGAAGGCCTAGCCAGAGCGATCAGGCAAGAGACATAAAAGGCCTCCAAATAGGAAAAAATAAGTCAAACTATTGAAAAGTGGGACCTGATTAACTAAAGAGCATCTGCACAGCAAAAGAAACTATCAAGAGAATAAACAGACGACCTGCAGAATGGGAGAAAATATTTACAAACTATGCATCTGACAAATGTCTAATATCCAGTATTTGTAAGGAACTTAAAGCAACAAGCAAAAAAATAACTCCATTTAAAAAATGGGCAAAGGAAAAGACATGTCTCAAGGGAAGGGACACGATTGGACAATAAACATATGAAAACAT